ACCATGCATTCCCATTACAACAAAACGGTTTTTAGATTATCGAAACTAATAATGATAAAAATAGGTAGATTCGCATTGAAAACCGTAACGTTTTCCTCCGCCATATTGTTTTCCCATTACGTTCCCATTACGAAAATTTATTTATTCGACACGAAAAAAAAAAAAAACAATTTTCCCTTTGGTTTAATGAGAATATTATTCACATGGTCGAAATTGCACATTTAAATATTATTATAATTTTAAATGATTCAATACCTAGGCACACTTGTCCTATTAACCTTCTTCAAAACTATTTACATCGAACTATTCCTCCTCGAGCAAAATCAAATTTTAGATTTAAATTTTAAAGAAAAAAATTACTCATTATTATATCAACGTGTAATTGGTGGAAAAGTGAGAGTCGTTCGATCTATCGATCGATTTATCGATAGATCGTTCGCACATAACTCGAATCAACAACATATAACGATATCACGGGTTGACATATACACATCGGCGTGATAAATTAGTTTAACTATTATTATTATTATTACTTTTGGGGGGACAGAGTAATAAGAAAAAAATTTTTTTTTTTTACTCAAATTCATAATTTCATTTTACGCCACGACGGATTCAGGTTCCCCCCTCCCCTTTCATCTCCTCGTTCGTTTTTAAAAGGCAAACAAAAAAAAAAAACGATCTCAATGAATTTTGCCTTTCGAAACGAGAAAGTCAAATTAAATATAAAAATGAAATAATTTATTAATTTTTATTAGCAGTCGTTTTTTTTTTTTTTTTTTTTTTTTTTTTTCTATTTACACGTTCTGACTTTGTTCACCCCTTTTTATTTTATTTTATTTTTTTTTCTTGGCAAATGAAATTATGAAGAGAGAGAGAGAGAGAGAGAGAGAGAGAAAAAAAATTTTTTTTTTTTTTTTAAACGATGTTAATGACTTTTTACTCACGTTTAACCGTTTTCAAAATGGCGAACATTCTTCTACTCGAATTTAAATTCCTCGATGGGATTCGATGCAATTGTCATCCGTTCATCCCTTTTTGTATGCTCCCAAATTCTGTGAAAAAATAAAAATAAAATTAGAAAATTTTCCATAAACGCTACCTTAGTTAGATACCTACATGTTCCCTCCTCGATCCCCCTCCCCCTCCCCTCAGAAAGAAAAAAACGCGCGCGTTTCGAAACGTCTACACACTCGAAACGATAAATTTTCTTTATGCCCATAAAAAAAAAAAAAAAATTACAAATACACGTCGATAAATTTTATTTACGTTTAATAAACGTCGCTTCCGAAATAATAAATTCCAATTATTACGTTCCGGAACTTTGTCGGAAACAGTACGTATGAAAATTATTATTGACGTGGCACCAGTAAAAATTTTTTTTTATTGATTTTTAAAAAATCGACTTTTATATGGGGGGAAATTTTTTTTTTTTTTTTTTTTTTTTACTGTTGGCAAAAATGAAAATTAAACAAGGAAAACGTTTAGCGTTACGTGGGTTAAGGGAGCGGAGAAAAAATATACAATCTCTCTAGCAGGTAAAAATCCCCCCCCCGTTCGTACCTTTTAACTCAAATCTTAACCCCCTACCCATCAATAATAATGATGATAATAATTACGTTTTTTTTTTCCAACGAGAGTAATACAAACGCATTATCAAAATCGTGACGATCTACCCGCTACGTACGTGTTATCACACGAGGAAAAACTTTCTTTATTTTCGAGATACGCTATTATTATAGGTAAACGACTACGTAATTAAAGTTGTTTTACCTAATTTTATCTTTTATCCAGGAGGAAAATTTCTATAATAATAACGGAGATTCACTCCGCCATTTTCTCTTCTTTTTTTTTTTCTCGAATGAATTTTTTTTTTTTTTTTTTATTAAACGGCCCTGAATTTTGGAAAATTAAAAAAAAAATTTTTTTTCTTGTTACCGCGACACTTGGAGCAATTTAACAATGCTACTAATAATTATTATTATTATTATTGATTAAAAAAATTAACGAGTAGTAAGGTCAATAGTAATGATAATAATAATAATAAAAACTTTCCAAAACGATACGAAAATAATAATTTTTTTTTTTTTTTTTTTACATAGACCCCCGGGATCAATTATCGAATCGCCCTTGGTCGAAACGAACGTAAAGCCCCCCCTCCCTACCACAAAAAATATACCATTTACCAAATCGTGGTATATATCACGCCCATGACGAACGCTTATTCGTACCTATCTAATCATCGCGTGCGTTTTAATTGACAAAAAAAAAAATCAACCTTCAAAAATTTTTCGGATTTTCAATTAAAAAAGAAAAAGTAAAACGCGGGGGAAGGGAGGGAGGGGGGGCAGGTTGACAAAAAAAAACGGAAAAGCGGAAGGTGTACTTAAATACTCGTTTAAATATATATGGAACGCGTGCGACGTCGACCTTGTAACAAACGGTTAAAATTCGATTTGATTTAAGCAAAATAATGAAAAATTTTGTACAAGGCCGATAAAAAAAAAAAATCAAATCAAATCAAATCAAATATTACACAACGACATTTACTTTTCTCTCTCTCTCTCTCTCTCTTTCTCTCACTCTTATTATCTAAAGATGGCCGTTACGTGGGGGGGACAAAGTAAGGGACAATTTCCACTTTTTCCTCCTCCTTCTCCTCCCCTCCCCCACTTACAATTTCATATCAACGTATAATTTTAATTCGCCGATAAATTTTTTTTTTTTTTTTTACATTTTCTCCGGCGTTTTTTTACAAAAAAAGCGGGGGGAAATTAATACAGATGGTTGTCGTACCTTAGAGACAAGTTGTATGAGCATAGGGAGGGGAAGGGAGGGGAGGGGGGGTATTCAAATGACATTTTAAAATTTATAATAATTAATTAATGATTAATTTAAAATAAAACGTATTAAGCGATACGGTAGCTATACGAACGTTTAAATTACCCACTACCACTACCACTACCACCACCATCACTTTTACCCCCCGAGTCATTTCGTATTTTTCGAATCGCCGTATATTAAAAAAAAAAAAAAAATTATTACCTTTCATCGAATAAACATTAATATTAATAATGATTTTGATATGTTATTAAAGGTTACAATTAAGCAATAAAGTTTTCAAAAAAAAAAAAAAAAAAAATGATAAAAACAAACAAGGCATTTAATTTAAGGGTTTATGGCAAGGTTTTACTTTTTTTTAAAGCCTATAGAAATTTTCAAGAGGTAGACAAACGACAAACGGCGGTTCAACAACGAATCGAAAAATGCAACGACAAACAACAACGAAACCGACGACAAAAATTATTTAATCTCGTAAATTCCCATAAAGAGAACGAGAGTTATTATCGAAATAGAAAGTTTTTCCATTCGAAAAAAAAAAACGGCGACGACGACAAACAACAAACAACAATTTCGGCATATTGCTTAATTTAAAAAAAAAAAAAAAAAAATTAAAATAATAATGGCAAAGATGTAACCGTTATGCGTAATCGAAAAAAAAAAAAATAAATAAATAAATGTCACCTCGGGGTTAAAAATAATTCTTGTACACAAAAAAAAAAAAAAAAAAAAAAAAAATGACGGTGAAAACCGAATCGTCGTTAACAAACTGACCCAAAACATCTCGTCGTCGTCGTCGTCGTCATCGTTAATAATAATAATAATAATATCAACGAATGTAACAAACCCCGGAAGGTTTAAAAAAAAACAAAAATTGCGTCGTTCAAAATTAAATTTTAACTCATCAACTCATAATACTCCAAACAAGCAAACAAACAAATAACCAAACAAACAAACAAACAACCAACCAAACAACCAATCAAACAAACGAAAATGTTTCGAGTATATCGAAAAATATAAATCGTTATTCGATAAAAATAAATAAATCGAAAAATATCGAAAAAAACAATCGAAAATTATTTACAAACTTATACAAGTATATATATACATATAAATCATTTACATGAAATCGTCTGCTGACACGTAAAAAAAAAAAAAAACAATTTTCGTTATATTAATAATAATAATAATAATAATAATTTCCATTCGCGTAACAGTTTTTTTTTTTTAATCAAGCAAAAATAATATCGTCGTGGTAATAATATTTACAAAAAAAAAAAAAAAAAAAAGTGAAAGATGTATGTGATAATATATTAATGAAAAAAATAAAATGCATCCAAATTTTTTTTTTTCTACTCTTTTACTTTTTCTACCGAGTTTTTATGCCAATAAATTAATAATCATAATAATAATTATTATTATTATTATTAGAAAAACCTTATTATTTATTTACGTCATCATTATTTAATTTATTTAAATATTAAAGCGAGAAATAAAAAATAAAATAAAATAAATTTTTTTTAAAATTTAAACGTTACGTATTATGTTACATCAAACAGCAAAATTCATTAAATAAAAATCAATAAAAAAAAAAAATCCCAATTTTTTTTTTTTTTTTTTTTGTAAAACTCACCACCGCTGCCATTACACCGTCACCCTTTACGATAATGATAATAATAATAATAATAAAATTCGAGGGAAAACATGGAAATTTTTTTTTCGGCCTAAACGATTCTCAAAAAAAAAAAAAAAAAAAAACAAATTACCCAAAAATCAAAAAATTTTGTTTTTGTCCCTTTACGGGAAAGTTGTTAAGTCCCAAAAAAAATTATTAAAACTAAAATATAAAAATTATATGGGAGAAAAAAAAAAAAAAAAAAAATTGCCCCGAAAAGAGAGAGAGAGAGAGAGAGAGTCGCGTAATGTAAAAAAAAAAAAAAAAAAAAAATTAAGAGTGGTAGATTGAAATCGAAACGCATAATTTGTTTTTTTCACGAAGGATTTTTGACCCCCGATTGGGGACTCTGCCCCTACTGCCCCCCTTTTTTTTTTTTTTTTTGGGAAAATGAGTTACGCCTAATAGAAAAAAAAAAAAAAAAAAAAAAAAACAAAAACAAAAACGCCCGTAAGCAGGAATTTAAAAAAAAAAAAAAAGTTAAGCGATGCAGAGAGTCACGGTCAAGGAAAATGACCAAGGTGGGAAGAAAATATCTCTCCAGCAACGTTGCAACACATCCGTGAATATGGAAGGATCTTGGAAAGTATAGTATAAAAGAGATCTCAAGGTAATTGTGAAGCATAGTTTTCAATACTTTCAATCTAGTAACATGGCATTCAAGGTATGTACTCAAAAAAAAATTAAAAAATTAAAAAATTTAAAAAATTAAAAAAAAAATAACCTGTGTCATTTTGGTAGTGTTTCTAGTGTTTTGGTTTTTAATTTTTTTTTTTTTTTTATACTATTTTTATTATTATTATTATTTTTTTTTTTTTTGTGAAATATGTGATTTCGATAGTTTTTTGGATTACGATTTAAAAAAAAAAAAAAATTTTTTTTGGATTAGTTCTGAGTATTTTGTGGTAAGATTATACACGATAATTTTCCGACAGGAGAAGGAGTAATTTTTTTTTTTTTCCTTCTTCTTCTTGCAGCTCGTTCTTTTCGCCGCTTTCGTCGCTGTCGCTAGCGCCGGAGTTGTTGGTACCTACCACTCCGCTCCAGCCTACGCCACCTACAGCGCCGCTCCAGCTGTTGCTAGAGTTGCCTCCTACAGCGCTGCCCCAGCTGTTGCCGTTCACGCTGCTCCAGCTGTCGCCACCGTCCACGCCGCCCCAGCTGTTGCTGCCGTCCACGCTGCTCCAGTTGCCGCCGTTCACGCTGCCCCAGCCGTCGCCGTTCACGCCGAAGAATACGATCCAAACCCAAGCTACAGCTACGCCTACGATGTTCAAGACCACCTCACCGGAGACAGCAAATCCCAACACGAAACCAGACAAGGTGATGTTGTCAAGGGATCTTACTCTTTGACCGAACCAGACGGTTCCAGAAGAACTGTCGAATACACCGCTGACCCACACAACGGATTCAACGCTGTTGTCCACCGTGAACCAGCTGTCCACCCAGCTCCAGCCGTCGCCGCCGTCCACGCCGCCCCAGCCGTCGCTGCCGTCCACGCCGCCCCAGCCGTCGCCGCCGTTCACGCCGCCCCAGTCGCTTCCGTCCACGCCGTCCACGCCGCCCCAGCCGTCGCCGTCCACGCCGCCCCAGTTGCCTACAAATCCTTCGGTTACCACCACTAAGTCACACCTATATCTCCTAGGTATGTTAGTGTAGACTTAATTTTAAAGATCCTTATATCCAAAGCCTTCCTTTCTAAGGTATATAATATCACACACACACTTAAAGATTTCCTGCACCAGATCTTTTATCGAGTCGTTTTACATCTCCGTAGAAAAGGTCTTTTGGTGCTTAAATCTTTGTGTTTTACAATGTTTCAGTATTTGTTATATTTTGTAAATATGACCAAAATAAAAAAGGTTTTATATTAAAAAAAAATTAAATAAAAATGACTTTTTTTTCTTTCTTTCTTTTCCCACATTCCTTCCACAATTACCAACAACCGTATAACGGAAAACGAAAAGAGTGAAAGTGAAGAGAGAGAGAAAGAAAAAAAAAATTTTTTCTCTCTTTTTTTTTTTCTCTTTCGTGGCAGGAGTTTAAAAAAAAAAAAAAAAAAAAAAAAAAAAAGCTGCAATAAATTTCGAATAGGTTTATAATCGTTAAACCGTTCGAAATTAACGCAGTCATCGGTCAAAAGAGTTACCGGCTCTTTGAAAAAAAAAAAAAAAAAAAAAAATTTCGAGCGGTTCGAAATCGAAAATTCGCGTAAGTTTCCCGGTAAAAATCGGGAATCGAATCGTTAAATAAATTTTGATTTTGGGGGGGAAAACAAAAAAAAAAAAAAAAAAAAAAAAAAAAATGCGACAAAAATTGTTAACGCCGCGTTATTATGTCAGCCTTCGTTTGTTTGTTAAGTTATTATACAACAACAACAATGTAATAATGTGTTCGAAAAAAAAAATTTTTTTTTTTTTTAAATCGTGACAGTTTTCGAAAAAAAAAGTCATTCTAAATGAATCGATGATTCTCTCTCTCTCTCTCTCTCTTCTTTCGTGGATAATACGTCATAAGAAAAACATGTTACTACAATCTCACGCATGCAGGAATCGACACACTCGAAGAGGAAGTTTTTGTTTTCGTTTTTTTTTTTTTTTTTTTTTTTTTTTAATTCAAAGACTAGAAATTCAGGTATTGGGAATCTCGCTATAAAAAAAAAACCTAGCCAGACCGATTTTCATTTCCGCTCTCCCAAAAAAAAAAAAAAAAAAAAAAAAATAACGATTGCACTAAATAAAAACAAAAACCGAACCTGACACCGATTAATACTCGAAGGGAAATCAGTTTGTTTTCTTTTTTGTTTGTTCAGATACCGAACCGTGCATACAATGGAAACGCGTTTGTTTTTGTTATGCAATTACGTTTTTTGTTGTACGTTCAGAATCCCGCTGTAGCCGTCGGTTAAGCAAATCGTTCGTTACGCAAATCCGCCATGTTTAAATTGAGAGACTGGTAAAATAACTACGTGTGACCCAAACATCATCTCTCTCTCTCTCTCTCTCTCTATTTTTTTTTCTAAATCAAACCCCTCAAACTAATAGTAAAAAAAAAAAAACCATTATAGTTTAAACAAAAACAAAAAAATTTTTTTCGTGTGCTTTCTCTCTCGTCTACAACAAAACCAGTTATAATGATAATAATATTAATATTATTATTATTCTCGTTCATTTCGCTAAAAAAAAAAAAATTTAAATTTTTATCTAATAAAAGTGAAAAAAAAAAAAAAAAAAAAAATTAAATTTTGTACTCGAGTTATTACGCAACGATATATATAATAATAATAATTATTATTATTATTATTATACTTTGTTCTGCTTCCACGATATTTGTAAGAAAGCAAACGTCGTTTAAGTTGTCGAATCTAACCAACAACAACCATCGTCTGTCTTTGGCAATTGTTGTTTATTTATTGAAATAACTCCAAATATACCGAGATTCGGAGTGATAAATGAGTTTTTTATTGACTTTCAAAAGGCTCCCGTAAGAAGTGTAATCATAATCATATTATTATCATTATTATTATTATTTTACGGTTACGTAATTCCACAATATCTCCTTCAATAATCTACTTTTCAAAAAAAAAAAAATAATGTCATTTACAAGCGCGGCCATATTATTTATATTTATGTAATAACTCGTCAACAAATATGCAAAAACAAGAGTTTTTATTATTATTATTATCATTACAATAAATAATAACGTAATTTATTAGTTCGGAATTATATATATATAAACATATGATAATAACTACTACCACTACTACCACTACTCTCATTTTTTTTGCTTTTACATAAGTGTGAGAAAGAGATTTTTAAAATTCTGAGAGTGAATATAAAATTTTTTTAAATGTTTAATGCAATCACGATTTTTCTTTTTTTTTCGTTTCTTAATAATAATAATAATAATAATAGGGTAAGAAAATTAATTTATAAATTCTAGTTGTTGTTGTTGTTGTCGTTTGTTTGTTACTTTACAAATATTACCGTAATTTAACTGGAATTTATAAAAAAAATTTTTTTTGTTTTCGTTTATAAATAACGAGAGTCACGTTGGATAACCCGGTAGAAGAAAGTTAATAATAATAATGATAATAAGAATACTCTACAAAATGTTTAATTTAAAAAAAAAAAAAAAAAAAAAAAAAATGGCGTTTAAGAATATAATTTTGCATGCATTTTAAAATTACAATGAGAGAGAGAAAGAGAGAGAGAGAGAAATATCTAGCAGACGAATATCTAGACCGCGTAAAATGAAAATTCAAAATGAGTATTTTTAAACTACTCGTCGAATGACTGATTTGCACCGCATTCCGACACAAAAAATTAAAATTTATCAATTTATTAATTTAAAAAAAAATTATTTATCGATAATCAATCAATAATCGAATCCATCATCGAAAATTTAAAAAATTTTTAATTTGAACGAACGGTAATGAATAGAATTCGGAGAAAGTCGAAATTTAAAAAAATAAACATTTTCATGAAGTAATTTTTGCAAAAAAAAAAAAATTTTTGGGGGGGCGCGAGAGTTTTTGAGTTTGAAATCAATTAAAAAATGCAAATGAGGGGCTAAACGTAACGGAAAATTAATAACGGTGAGTGATTGACTGACTGATTGATTGCACTTGCATAAAATTACACATTAAAATCTAACTTCTGAAAAACCTGAATCGGTGACGTAACGACTTTGCCCTGCCTCGGTTGTGAGTGCGTGTGTGTGCCTGCATATATCTGTCTACCTACTACCCATTGCATTCACTTGTTGCAAAAATGCAACAAAAACATTCAGACAATTCTTTACACCCCAACTATTCGCACCTTTTAATTAATTTCATTAGAATGGCACGTATCCAATTTAAATCAGGTGGTTCAGCCACGAGGTAACAAAAACCTACCCGCAAAATGGAAAACTTTTCTTTCTGATAATAATAATAATAATAATTTCACCTGTTCGTTTTGCAATTAAAAAACAAAAAAATTTAAACGACCTTAAAGAAAAAATCAAATACGACGGGGATGGAGGGGGGAGGGGGGCGGCGGCGGCGAAGGGTTGCCACCGTTTGAAACGGATCAAGGTGATTACAATCGTTTTTCCGTTTGTTATCGTTCATACGTGATCAAAGGTTATTCGACATTTAACCTCACGGAACCTGGAAGGTCTCGGTCATAATATTACAACGAACGGTTTTAAACGGGAATTAAACGAACCACGCTTCACGCGATGCGTAAAAAAAATTTTTTTTTTTTTTTTAAACGCCATTTTCAACATGGATCCCGCGGAATCGTGCGTTTATCATTATTATTATCATTTTTTACATGAAAATTATTTCATTAGAATTCTAATTTCCGATTATATAAATTTATACAATCGATTTTTTTTTTTTTTAAATTAATTTTTCGATCCAAATGGTAAAAATATTTCAATCATTTGAATTTCGGCCAAATGATTTTTATGTAAAAAAAAAAAAAAAAAAAAAAAAAAAACGAAAGACGATGGAATTTTTTTTTTTGGTTCATTTTAACAAAGTCTTTAACTTAAAAAATTATCGACAATTTCGAAAAGGTTATCGATTGATTTTTTTTGCCATAAGCAAATCACATACTTTTAGGGTCGTCACAACATTTCGACAAGTTTTTTTTTTTTTTTTTTGCTGATTTCTGTGAGAGAAAAAAAAACGAGGAAATGAAATGGCGTTAATGGCGTTATACATTTAATATTTATTGGTCGGATTATTAAGCAACTAGCGAGTGGTTTCCATGCCTTTTTTTTTTTATTTTTAAATTCAGATAAACAAAAACCCACACGCATGCACGCACGTACGCACACACGCAATTTAAACAATCAAATTTTATTTATCCTTAAAACCTCGTTCGATTTCTCAATACAACGAGAAAAAAAAAAAAAAAACGAAAAATGTATACATGCATGCAAAAATTGATTCGTAATAATTAAAAAAAAATTACTTTAATTATTATGTGTTATGATAATACGAAAAGAGAGAGAGGGGGGCGCGGGGAAATAATTATAAACCTTTGAAAAACGTTTAACCTCATCCGGATGGAAAAAAAAAAAAAAATCATTATTACAATTTTCCAAACGATTTAGCCCAGTTCGTGTTTTTTTTTTAATAAACGTGAAAGTAATGACCTATTGATAATAATAAATAAATTATTTAATGGTATACGTAAACAATAACTATTGTTTAAAAAAAAAAAATTTCTTCTTTCTATACAACGTTCGACGGCTACGGTTTTTTTTTTTTAAAAAAAAAAATTCAAAGTCATAAAATTAATATTACATAAATTAAATAGTTTTACTATCATTATTATTATTATTATTATTATTTTCTAAGGCTAACCAAAGTACGTAATTTTTTTAAAGTGAAATTAAAATTTCATTATTTAAACCTGTCCCGCATAAAAAAAAAAAAAAAATTATTAATAATTTTGCGGCAAAGTTAACACGAATTCGTTGAATTGTTTTTTATTATTATTATTACTTAAAAATCGATAAGAAAAAATTCATTTATCGGTAAAATCGAAAATTGAAAGGCACAAAAAAAAAAAAAATACCGTGTCAAATACGCGCTATTGATCGATCTTCCTTATTGCAAAAACCTACTTTTTTTTTTTTTTTTGTTAAAATGAAAAAAGGGAAATTTTTCGATAAAGTTTTTTTTTCGACCGACGACTAACGAATTTAATTTTTCTATTGAAACGTTATTGCGTAACCCATAACAAAAACAAAAACAACAACCAAAACAACAACAAAAACAAAAACAACAACAACCAAAACAACAACAAAAACAACAACAACAACCAAAACAACAACAAAAACAA